TGTTTGTATAATGTACACGTAATTACTTTCATCTACACTGTGCTAAGTCTGTAATTGGCCTTGCGGCTGTTCACTTGGCACATAAATAATAAAGAATTGAATTACCTTCTAGTCTCCTTCTCAGACTCTCAAACTTTCTAAAATGATTTTCCCACCCAAAATTACCTATGCATTTCTCAATTCCCTTATCTGTATCATGATCTATGTAACTCATAAAACTTCCCATTATGTAATATCCTTCCTTCTCCAATAAATTAATTTCTTTCAGATTTGGAATATTTTCCTCAAAGCATTTTCTCAGTTTTCCTGACTGGAGAGGATTTGGATTGTGGTCTCCTGGGTTACGACACAGTACCATCTGGTAGGTGGTTACCAGTGTTTCAGAGGAACCTGCTGTCCCTCTCTTCAAGGTAGATGAAGACAGAGGCAACAAGTCCCTTAAAAACATTAGTAGACACCTAAAAGACACAATGTATCAAATCCTCAGTGCTGTGAAAACCTAATATCTTGTACAGATGTCGTAAGGCATTAAAACAGACCACTTCTACCATTCATAATTTCCTGGCCAATCAATACCTCATAACCTACGCAGTGCATAGAGCATAACAAAGTAAGACAAACTCAAATGTATATAAGGGAAAAATAAATGCATTCCCTTCATTTTTAATATATATATTTCTTTTCTTAAAATACTAATTATCAATCTCTTGTATATAACTACTATTGGCGCAATTCATGTTGTCACTGTTGGCGAGACTCTTAGAATGAGATTCTAATTACTAGCCATAGACACATCAATTCCAATATAATACATATACATAAAATGAATAGAAAAATCTGTCACTGACACTGATATGAAAAGCAGACATACGCAGTACTCAAAAAGTTAATCTCTTCTCCCCAGAGCAACAAACCCACCACTTCACTCACATATTAAAAATGTCTAGAAAGATCCATTCTAAAACCACTGAAATCAAGAGCATCCTGGCTTTGCACATACTGTTGCAATGCTCAATCAAAACCTCTGTGATAGGAGACAAACTGGGTGTCTAGGTGGCCTGCTGTGGAGATGGCTGTGCTCCCATTGGTGGTCCAGGAGAGGGAGAGCCTGCTGCTGAGGGATGAAGAGGAGGAACTGCAGTGGCACCTGAATGAGGTGGACCTGATCCAGGCACAGCTTGTGGTGAGGGTGGAGTGGGTGTGGTGCTTGGTGTAACAGGACCACCAGACTGCTGTTCACTACCAGAGGATGCTGCATTGCCAGCAACTGCAGAACCTGAGCTTACTATACTGCCACCCTGCTGGGAAGACGCAGACTGCCATGAACCCTGTTCTGCAGCAAGTCGCTGGTGTGCTTGCTGACGAGCCCGGAACTCAGCAGCTTTCAACTGCTCCAAGTGGAACTGCTGGCGTTCGGTGATCAGCTGCTGTCGCTGGTATTCCAGTCCTTCGCGCTCTCGTTCCATTGTTGTTTCCAGTTCCTCAAAGTGACGAAGCTTGATTTCAAGCTTCTTCATCTGCGTCTCCACCAAAAGGGCAACCAGGGACTTTATTTTTCGCTCCTCCACAGCTGCTAAATGTTTTGCTTTCACTGCAGCTGCAGCTAAAGCAGCAGCAGCAGCTGCTTGGAGCTGTGCATCCTTCACCAGTCGTTCCTGTTCTGTTTCACCTGCACTGTCTCCTGTGCTGACTGCTGCTGCCTCCTCCAGCTTCTCCTCCTTCATGGCCAGACTTTCCTCTGTACCTGATGCCTTCTCTTCAGCACTTTGTTCCTTGGGACTCTCCTTCTCCTCGGGCTTTTTGTCCACTTCCATTGGCTCCAATTTATCTCCTTCTTTCTTCTCTCCATCAGTCCCTGTTGCCTTCTCTTCACTTTCTTTCTCCCCTTCTTTCTTCTCCTTCTCCATTGATTCTTCCTCCTTCTCAGGGACCGTACCAGCAATTCCACTCTGGAAAAAATCACAGACATTTCACATGTACATAACCATAAAGAACTTTCAAACAAAAATAAAAAGTTTTATGCTTCTTTGATATTTTATTTTTTATCATTTTTTAATTATGAGGTCATCTAATAATCAATGAGATATGCTCAGAAATTCCAGGTGCATTCAGAAAGTTCCAAAAATTTGTCTACAAATATTATCTCTACTTAGAGCTTCTGGAATAACTTCAAATCATAAGCAATGTATTTCTCCCACTGTCTTCTCCAATTCTGGAATCAGTTTCAAGAGACTTTTATGGTATTGCCTTCAAGTCATTCATCACATTAGTGATGATGTCTTCCACTGTCTGAAACCTTCTTCCTTTAAGGGTAATTTTGAGCTTAGGGAATAGGAAAGTTGGGAGGGAAGAGATAAAGTGTACAGAGGGTTTGTGGAAAGGTAGGAATTCAATGTTTACCAAGAATTCTCTCACAATGTTGTCTAGGCACGCAAATTATCATGTTGAAGGAGCCAGCTTCCCGCAGTCTACATTTCAGGTCGCTTTCTTCATACTGCATCCTGCGGACATCCCAAGACATACAGATAAAAATCTTGTCTGACCTTCAGGAGCAAATTCATAATGCACAATGCCTTCATGACCGCGAAACAATCAGCACTGCTTTCACTTGCAAGCACACCCACTGTGATCTCTTGGTGCAAGGTAAAGCAGGACTCTTCCAGTGTGAGGACTGCTGTTCAGTTTCAGTCACAACCGTAAATCCACATCTCGTCACTGGTAATGACATTTTTCAAATGATTTTTATTGTCATTTGTTCTCTGGAGGAGATTTTGGAGATCATCAGTCAAAAGTCTTGGCACAAATTCTGCTGAGATCCAATGCATACCTAAACCTTCTGTTAAAAATTATGTGGCATGAACCAATGGATACCGAACCCCTCCTGCAACTTCTCAGTCAGTCAGTTAATGATTTCCATGGGAATGTTTTTCTCCTGTGCAATCAGAGATACAGATCTTGAAGCTGAAGGTTAGTCAGACTGCTCAATACCATCTGTTGAAGTTCATCCATTTTTGAAATGTCTGAAGCATTCAAGGGTTGTCATCTGACTCAAGGCATCACCACCATTAGCTTCACGCAACATTCTGTGGGTTTCTGCAGCTGTTTCCCCTACTCCAAAACAGATTTTAACACAAATTGTTTGCTCCTTCACTGACCCCATACTCAATACAAGAAGACAATACACATGATCACAAAACTGGTTATAAAAACTAAACAGAATGTCTGATCTACTTGGAACAAAATGGCTTCCATAACTAATGATCAGGCTGCAAGGTCACTTGGACACCATCTAACATGATGGATGCACTGCTTCCCCATGCCCTCATTTCGGAAACTTTTTTTAACAATCCCTGTATATAGATAAACGTGGCTCCAGAAATATGTCTGGTCACCCGCCATGAGCAAGTTAACACCCCAGTGACAATTACAAGAAATATCTGCATGAAGCAACCTGCAAGACTATAGACAAGTGGATTTTGTAATGTCACTAGTAGATTTAAGTTGTATTTCTGGAACCCTGGTTGGGAGTGCTGACACAGGACAGATGTGACAGGATGCAGAGTAGCAGGTTTGAAAAAAGCAAAGAGAAAATCCTCACCCCTCCTAGGAATCAAGACCTGGCTGTCCAGCCCACATTGAAAAAGGATAAAAACGAAGCATATACATACTTGTGCCAGACCAGCTGACGGATCGAACTTCCCATCAGTGGATGATGCCTCAACATTCTTAAAATGTGCATCCATCAGAGCTGCTGGTACTTCATCCTGCAAAACAACATTAACCAAACAACACTAACCACTCATTTACCTCCAACTAATCACCAACATTTTATAATGGAATAGCCTAGGTAATGAAGATCCGGCCCTCTGCAGCACATTCTTATAAATATCTTATTCTATCATAGAGGTCACCCCACAATTTTTGAACATTTCTCTTAACTTAATTCTAAGAATATACTATTTTTTACATATACTTTTCTCTTTTTAAATAAAGTTAGGAATTTTGTTATGAAGTAACAGATGCCTTGCACAAATCTTTCTTCCTCTAACCTTAAGATCTCTCTAACTGATCTGGGTCCTCATACAGTTTACAATCACACGTTACAATATGTTCCTCCATTTGCAGCCTGTCACCACATTCGCATTCAGCTGTGGGCACAATGTTAAATCTACTTAAGCTTGCTTTAAGACTGGAGTGGCCTGCTCTCATACAGTTTATTGAGACAAGGGGACAACATGTAAGATTTGAGGCTTTCACGGCGGTGACTATGAAGAAAGCAGTCTTCTGGGATTTGGCACCGTGTATATGTGGTGTTAACCGACGTTTCGGAGGAACGTATCGCCCCCATCTTCAGGGTTGAAGAAGTATAAGTAAATCTGCAAGCAACAACACCGTGAGACACGGTCAAGCAGACTGAGTCGTTGAGTAGCCTCCCCATAGAGGAACACTATGNAGTCTGCTTGACCGTGTCTCACGGTGTTGTCGCTTGCAGATTTACTTATACTTCTTCAACCCTGAAGATGGGGGCGATACGTTCCTCCGAAACGTCGGTTAACACCACATATACACGGTGCCAAATCCCAGAAGACTGCTTTCTTCAAGGGGACAACAGTTCATCTTTATCTCACAGAAACACAGAGATAAGCCATCTGTAAATAACATGTTGAAATAAAATGCCAGACATAATCAAAATCTTACAGGTGAACACGGACCACATTACCCATCATCAGTCTCACCCAAAATTCCCATATAATGGGTTAAGAATACCATCATGAAATGTTGTAGATTCTAGAGCACGAGAACACAGATATCCGACAAGACAGATGTTCTGACAAAGAGAAAGCACACGCATGAGGAGAAATACAGTTGCCATAGTGCCTCATATCAGACCATTCCATGACTATTCTCCTGGCCATTCAATTAAGAGTTAAAACCTGACATTATCCTACCTTGATGCTTGCAAACTCTTCCATCGCTGCCTTTGCTGCTGACGCAGCCACCCTTGGATCCACCACCGATGCAAGAAATGCAACAGTGGACATGATTGGGTTGCCAGCTTTGCTGAATGGAATGGGCTGGTATGCCAGAGGTCCCAGTGCGCCTCCTCCTGCTTCATGATCCTCAAGATAAGGGTCCTCAATAGGCAGTCTCAGGAAGTGGAGAATGCACTCGTCTTGTGTCCTGCTACCTACATGTTCGCACACTTTGTTCCAGTCATCCTTGTAGAGCTCCAAACCTTCCAGAAGCAGCAGTGTCTCCTGCTCTGTCCATTCACGGGTCATACTGGCTGCTGTCTTGTTACGTAAAGCTGCAGGTTTCCGGGCATACCTGTCACACAAGCATATCAACAACCTGCACATCCTACATTTAAACAGAAATCATCACCATTTTCCTTTAATGTTTCCACCAGGCTGGACAGCCACATTCTCTCTTCATCTTTATTTTCCTATAACATTCCTCCTATATCTGTCCATTTTAACCTTTCTCTATTTTGTATACATTCCCTCTCCCAGTCTCTTCACCACGCCATGGTCTTCCCTGTAATAATTAATTTATATTCACTTCTAACACTTTCAGAATAATTTTATACATTGCTCACATATGACATATGTCTATAACACAGTAGCCTTAATTTCACCAAGCTTTCTTTTAGTGTTTCCACTGTTACACCCTGACTATGAAATATATTCTCATATGTAATACAGTAAAACCTTGTTACTTTGAAGTGCTCAGGCTTCAAAGTGGTGAGCTCAGAACTACGCAATTATACATTTTTTCTCTGGACTTAGCTACTGCATCTTTACTTGAAATAACGAAGTAATGGTTTAAAATATACATTGGTTTAAAAAAGGTGAACACAACACTTCACTTAAAATTAATGTAATTAATTCATAAACGCTAGATACTAAGAAAAATATACAAATGTCAAAACTTCTCAGTTTGGTCAAATGATTTCTGTTTCATCTGTCAGATAAATTTTCTAAACAATGGTCTAAAACAAGGAGATGCCCCCCATCAGAATCCATCATAAAATCGTAATATAAAATAGCTTTAAAAGAATCCTTTGAAAATAGTAATAAGTGCAGACTGCATATACAAATAAATTATTAGCAGGTTAAATTCGGGAAAACATACTACTACTAATTTCATAATCCTCTGTCTTCCCACCTGCTATCTAAAAAATTAATGGTTAAGTATACAAAACTATAATCTTACATGATTTGTAAGAGTGTGAGACTTGTTAATTAGAATTTAACTAGCAAAATGACACAACAAGCAATAAAACAAGCTATTGGACTGAAGACGGTATACAGAAGATGTACATGACGTACATTTCTCAGTGGTTAAAGCTTAGCAGTGGTAAGCTGCTCACATATTGTGGAATGCAAATTGTCACTTAGACAAGGGTGAGAGAAAGAGGGCAAGTTAATGGGACCTTTCTGAACTGCTATATAGAACTTTAGAAGCAAAACTGAAAATGTAAAAAGTTACAAGGAAACAATGGCAGCTTGTTGAAGTGCGTCTGCTCTACAAATCAGTGTATGTAGTGTCACACCATAGCTCAGGTGGTTGGTCAATGGCTTCCCATTGCAGTGGCCCAGGTTCAATCCCAGGTCAGATAATATAGGATCTGTGGTAGACAAAGGGGCACTGGAACAGGTTTTCTCCAGGTACTTCAGTTTCCCCTGCCAATTCTCATTCCACGCTCATCATCTAACATCTGGGGCTGGTACAAAAGGCCAAACAGCGAACAACATACCAAGTGAACTCAGTCTCAGCCCACCTTAAGAAAAGAATCAGGGTATATTATACCTTTTTTGCATGCAACCTTATGGAAAAGAAATCCTGTGTAAGTATTTTTGAATTTCCCACTGACCACACATGTTGAAAATATCACCTAATAACATTCAAATAGTGATGTAATGGTCTACGTCGCTGATAATGATTATACGAGGGGGTACCCAAANAAAAAAAAGTCGCACGGGGCAAGGTCGGGTGAGTACAGAGGGTGAGGAACAGGGGTCATACCATTTTTGGTCAAGAATTGTGGCACGAATTTTGCAGCCACCCTTTTCAATCCCAAATTTTCTGTCAAAATTCGCTGAACTGAGCTCCAAGTCACTCCTGAGAGCTCCACAAATTCTTCAATGGTCCGTCGTCGATCTTCCTTGATGATTTCACGAATTTTTTCAACATTTTCATGTGTTCGGGCCGTGGAAGGACGACCAGAACGAGGTTTGTCATCAATTGACATTTCACCATTTTTGAAACGGGAAAACCACTCAAACACTTGAGTTTTCCCCATAGCATCGTCCTTGTATGCCGTTTTTAACATTTCAAGAGTTTCTGTTCCACTTTTCCTGAGCAAAAAGCAGAATTTCACCACCGCACGCTGTTCACGAAAATCAGCCATTGCAAAAACGATCACACAAAACAGTTGTCACTATAAACTCTGCCGAAACTAGTCCTTACCTTCTGAAGCAACGGTAGTCAGCTTATCAACTCAGGAATGTTAGCTCTATGCGCTCATAGCGGCAAAACGCGGTACTACAAAAGCTCTGTCCACAAAAAAATTAGTTCGGTTTCTTTTGGGTACCCCACCGTATGCTCTCATTCCTATAGCAGTAGGAACATAAGAATCACTTGTTACGATGAAAGTGCCATAAAAACTATCATTATATGCAAACATTTTCCACACTGATGGTTCTAATGACTCTACAATGAAGCCATCATAAACCATACTAAATCTATCATGGTTTCACTGTAATTGATGGAACTCAGATACCACAACTTTTCATGACCATGGTCATGAACTGTATGGAAACCTCATTCAATTGCACAAAAATACAAATGGCCAAAAATCAACAAAGTGGCTAAAAATGTGTGTTAACAAGTGTTGTATTTCATTGGTTACAACCACACAGAACACTGTAGATTCTAAAGGGTTCTGATGATAGTGTTTAATACTCAGAACACTGTGGCTGAGTGGGAAGCCCTCCTGGACAACCAATGCTTGAGTCTTGGAACAGCATACAGTTGTCCTGAGGTTAGTTGTGGTTTCCTGGAGTCCCTCCAGAAATTTAAAATATGCCATCACCACTTCCATATCATGCACAATCTTCCTCCTGTTCAACAATATATAACCCATGGAGCACAATACTAAATAAACAAAGAAACAAACCAAAGAGTGGTGGCATTGCTTCACAGCAGTAAGTCATGCCTCATGTTTTAATTTGTTCCCAGCCAGCAAAAAGGTGTCCCATCCTCCTTATCCTTGATAAATGTCACTCTTTCTCTTTCCCTTTTGCAATCATTGCTATTTCCTACTTACTGGTCAAGCTTAAGGCCAAAATTAGTTCCAGGATCTGAGTCAGTTTTTTTGGTAGGATCCTTCTTGTCCAAATCCAGCAGAGTTTTGGCAGCTGATGGCTGAGGTGTCTTGGGTGGGTTGATGGGCTGCAGACCCGATGGAGTGTCTGACAGAACATGGAAATGTGAAGTTGGTGGAGGGCCCATGGGAGTTGGTCGACTGTCAGAGTCAACCTAAAAATACAAAAAAAATACATTTATAATCATATCCTTACCACAATATTGCTTGTTACAACAAGACCATTATTTTTAACTTCTTTATATTAAGCCTGGACAAGTTTCTGGCCTAAGTTGAAGACCCAACTAAAAACCATGACTATGACACAATGCTGATTGGTAGGGTATATTCCACACTTCAAGAACAGTGACAGACGAATAAAGCATAATTGTGGAATGATGACTGGAAGGAAAAAACATATTGTCACATGCTGGGTGTTTCTAACACGACAAATAAATTCATGCCGTCTTTGATGTAGCAAATTTATTGCACACTCACTCTTACACTTGCACAATTTACAATGTCCCAATTACTGCCATCGGCAGTAGTCACTTCCTGGGTTCAACTGTCTTGAATCCATTCACTCGATACTACTTAACAACTCGTGGCAGCTGGACTTCACCTCATCTCTTCGAAGGCTGGAAACCAACTGCTAATGCTCAACTAACTCCGGCGAATGCTAGAATGCAACTGTGCTTGGCGACCGCTAGACTTCCACCCTGAACTCCTTAGACATTCCAGTTTCTCTTATAAACCCTCACCCGGACAGTGGAAAATGTACCTCACTTCCCTGTTGCCTAATCGCCGTGTTTACAGATTGCCTATCTATAGTTGTTGCATGGACTCGCCTGTTGCGTGACGTCACAGCCTAGTGGGGAGGAGTGTTTACCGAGCACTGTGTAATGATGGAAGGAGTGGGGGTATGTGATGTCACTCACGGAAACACAGAGTTCACGTGACCCCTACTTCCTGTTGCACCATCCACGTTACAATATATACTCAAAGAAAAACCTACTGACAGATAAGCAAAATCAAAATGCATAGCAACCACACATGAAAATAAATTGGAGATGTGGAGGCAAGGCTCCATGCATGTTTGACCCTGGTACCAAGCAGATTCACAACATCTCAGTTTGTAAACTGACTGACCAAACAGTGGTTTCATTGCTGGTAGGGATGGTATGATATTTCTTTTTGCCACTGTCTCCTGAACACCTCCCAGACTCACCTAGCCTCCCATTCACTGTCAGTCATTTTCCTGGAGCTCCGTTTAGTGCTGAGGTCAAGAATGAAACTTTCCTTGAATTAGGAGCTGAACACCAACAATGTGGTATAGAAATAGTCAAACTGTGATATAAAATACAAAACTAACTGTATATATTATGTCTAGTACATGAAGACTATGTTCACGCTTGTGCTTGGAAGAGGAAAATAACAAAGAGTGAACACAAAACTAAAAACAAGGATTTGTTTATACTGCTGACAGCCTGAGCTGATTCTTCCCACCTTCAACCTTCACACTTTTGTGGGGAAAGAGGTGGTGTAATATTATCTAACTCAATTTTTACCATAATTGTTGATATTAAACAAAGTTGTTATAAAATTCTACGAGGCAAGTGGCTGTAAAACAGAATAAATACTTACAAGCAACATAACTGTAAACAAATGTTATTCCCTTAGTATACGGTATGTACGTAAATCCTGCTTTAGTACAACATTACAACCTCCAGGTTCAATACCGGGTCTGGTCAAGTGGGATTTGTGGTGGACAAAGTGGCGCTGGGGCAGGTTTTCCCCAAGTACTTCAGTTTCCCCTGCCAATCTTCATTCCACCAATTGCTCCACAGTCACCCTCACCTATCATCTGGGGCTGGTACAATAGGCCAGAAGTGGCTGCAGTACAAGGGACTTAGTCCCACCCCACTAGCAATAACAAAAAAAAAAGACCCATACCTACAATATGTATGTTTTCATTTTTAGGGTATAATGGCTGGTGCAACAAAGATATCAGATAGTTGAAGGTGGTACATTTCAATTAGTTTAAAAACCTCAGGTGTAGTCCACAGCCAGTTTACTAACTTCAGTAGAGCTCAGCAGCAAGTAACAGTAAAATGAATGGAAACAAACCTGATAATTAATGAGACCCCACTGTTCCAGGAAAGCATGGACTCTCATGATAGCACAAACGTCTCCTGCCAGGTTGCGCCTGCATGCCGTACTAGTGATGTACTCTGTAGGATTGAGACGGTATGTATCAATCATGAAGTTACGGTATGCCAAGTAGATCTCTGGTGTCTTTGATTTGTTCTTCCCATTGAAGAATTCTGGCAGGGCACGTTTCTCCACTGTGTGGATGGAATTGTAGTCGAACCATGCTGAGTAGCTTGGGATAATGATGTGATGCGTCTGTTCTGTCACATTGTCCTCCTGTCCATCATCCTTTGCATTGAATTCCTGCATATACAACAGCTTGAAGCTCTGAATACTGAACATAATATAACAACCACGTAACTGTTGTAACAGATTTCACATATGCATGTCAAAAATTACATAATGAATAGTTCACATATTTTTTACACCACTGAAAGGTCATATAATCAAGCAGGATAAATGACATGCTGACCAATCCTGCAAAACTTGTACCTGCGTGTTGTTATCTGATGCCTTGCCAGTCTGACTATCTTCACCCTTCTCTGCCTCCTCCTCCAGCTCTGTCATTGTTCCACCCTTGATAGGCTGCAGGTCATTGTCTTTCTTAGAAGATGAACCTTACAACAGGGACACATGTTTTTGGAGAAAGAATGCACTTTTAGGAATATTTTACTTTCTGTGGAGAACAACCTTTTTAAGTTTCTAGTTTTGGTATAATGATAGTGCATCAGCTGTAAAGGTTACACAGAGTCAAATGAGAAACGACAGCTTAAAATTGTAATTTCTGTAGCATTTTGGAGAAATCATTCATGGAATATTTTAAAGGACTAGCACACCCTTAACATGGAAGAACTCAGCAGACTAAGAAAACCTTCATTGAAGTTAGCTGATCAGCCCCATCTAGTCCAATTTGATGTGTGTCCCCCAGATCAGGGCAGGAATGCCAAAACCACACCACAACACTGTCCATCAGAAAGAACTGATATATCTTTCAGAGCTGCATATTTATTAGGCACGAGTTAATCTTGAACTTTTTAGACTGAATGGAGAAAAATATTCTTGATCTTAGTTTGAATGTTAACTTTTCATTCCCGAAACGATAATTGCTTTTGCTTTGCACATAAGGTCATATCAAAAAAAAAAAAACCATCAGCCTCATATATATCCAAATCGAAGGTGTTTTCGCCTCATTTTATGGGCCACAAAACTATGGACTGTCAACATGAATTTCAATGATATATATTAGATGTTTTTTCTCCACTGTAAGGTTTCAGTGCTCATGTTCTATGCACTATCATGCTAACACAGAAGAAAGTGGCAGCAAGAGAGAGAGAAATATGTCTCAAGGTCAGAAGCCATGAGCTGTCATTAGGTTACCTAAGTACCATCAAAGTTATGAAACAAAAGTAGTAATTCTCCAGTTCACCACACCATGAGATTATATTTTATCAGAACTATCGCTCAACATAAAAATGGCAAATTGTCTGCTAGAGGCAATTCTCTGCTGGATTCTCAAAATTTTTCCACGTTCTCAACTTGAACTAAAAAAATCATCCTTGCACATTCCCAATACATTTTCCTTACTTCAGTCTTGCATGTGCTGCCATGTCATTCATAACAGCAATTTTTCTGAGAAAATTAAATGTGTTACTCAGCTGTTGCATGAGCACTTTTGATACAAGCCTGTCAAAAAATTAACATCCAATGTTTCTGTGGTTAGAACAATTTAATATTAACATACCTGGCTTAGGGACAGTAACCTCTTGAATGTTTGGTTCTGGAGGAGGTTCCTCCATTTCCTTAGTGAGATCATCAGCTTCTTCCTCGCTCTTATGCTTTTTGCTTCCACTTGCAGCAGGGCTGCGACCACTGAAAATGTGTTCAGTATAAGCATATAAAGGCTTCAGCAATACAAATGGGGAACAAACAAGCAAGTGACCAATGACTGATGCCAGGACAGACAAAAAATTATACGTAAACACCCAGTTAAACAATATTGCGTGCACGTGTGAGAAAGAGAAAGAGAGCAAATGAATGCAAGCCATCTGATGGAAGTCTGCTAACTCTCTAGGAAGAGAAGTTAAAGCCAAAATTTATTAGCATAAAAATCTGCCACTGGAACTGGGACAATACTCTTATTGTTGTTTCATTTTCATGATGTAAGGATTTTTCACTATACATTTTTGGCAAACAGGCGAATTTCATTAATTCATACACAAAATTTGTTGCTAGAACTGCAGATTCTAGTTAAGCAACCAGAGGATGAAGTAAAACAGACAGGAGAGTCACAGGAGGGGATGATGGTTAGAAGAACAGAAGAGAAAAAATGTTGTAGAGAAGAAGGAACACAGATGTTTCTGAACTCTTTCTGTATTTAGGTATGTGACTGATGGGATGGTAGTCTTTTCTAGAAATTGAACAAACTCATACAGTCCTGCAATTTAAATACCTGATTTGATCTGTAAACTATCCACAGTGGAAGAAGTTCTCGAGTATATACTAACCTCTTCCTCTTGTCACGCTTGGGAATTGGTGAAGGTGATCTCTTGCGTTTCGGTTTCTTTTTGTTTCGGTCTGGATCTGACTGACTCATTAGGTCATCCACTGACAAACGAAGCTGAAATTTGAATATAGAAAGAAAATTCTAATATTTTCACTAATACATCAGTATATAATGTCATGCTTCTTTGCAGCTGCTCTATAGCTTTCAGTAGCAATTTCATGTTCACCATCCTGTAGATTCATATACACTGAGACATATAACTGACTTCAGAATCTATTTCATCATCAGATTCTAAATCATCACTACTTAGAACAGACTGCCAATGATTCATGGATGTAAGCAGTAAGAAGACAAAAGATCGTACATACAAATACCTGTTTCTGTAACACACTAGGGATAATTATAAATAAAGCAGTTCAGACTACTACTGAAAGATGGCACAAGCTTATATAGCCTTTCATAGCACACAAAGTGACCACAGGATTAAAGTTTTCTCTACTTGGCTGCAGCAAATGGATAGCACTCACCAAACTGAGTACATTCACTACAGTGAAAATCCCCACAGCAAAGTTTCCATTCACATTGTGAGAACACCAAACTTTCCTGTAAGTTGTGACCAGAACCTGCAGAATTTAACTCATGGGCACATTCTGCTTACACTCAATGTAAGGCTGCTGGTCAGTTGTGAAGGACAGAGAAGGTATGGGGAAAAAACTAATGATGAATCCAGCCACATCAAATTTAACATACCTCTGCCCTGGCAGTTAGAATCTTAGTACTGTATTAAATCACAAGGCACCCTATATATAGTAAAGGATAAAGTTCTTCCTGTGCTTAATTAAGCACATTATAAAGATGGATGGGACAGTGGAGTTACAGCTCCATACACTCTTAACCTCTGTACTAGACAGAAATGAGCAGTAACCTTAACAAAGCTTTACTCTTGGAAAACAGCTACTGGTGTGGATAGGAGGCTGGATTGCCCCAGAGCCAGTGTGGATGCTGTGCAGAAGATAAAAATGTATTGCTCCTACTGGGAATCGAACAAATTCCTTCAATGTCCAGTCTATAGTACAGTTGCTATACCAAATGAGCACCTTCCCCCAAATGTGCATGTGTGCAAAATTCCACAATAATGAATTCTACATCGCTTTATAAATTCACAACAATGAACAACAAACTGCATAAAATTTTTCGACATAGTTTCCTCTGGTAGACTTGAAAGGATTCTGACAATGGTGTATACTGTACTTCTTCTGGCTTATTTTGGACTTCATCCAAGGTCTGGTATGTAAAAGACAAAACACCACGACGTTTCCGAAACGTCGTGGTCTTGTTTAAGCCAGAAGAAGTACAGTTTCCTTTATTTATAAAAGCATTTTACAGCTGTATTTCTTATGCAAATTTTACAACAGTGAATTCTGACATCTTTCTAAAATGAAAATTCTCAAGAACACATTACACCACCTTCATAAAATATGGCACAATAAATTCCTTTTATTTATAAAATAAAATTTTGCCTGAAGAGTAATATTTCAATGGTAGTATAAAATACCAAACCCAATACCACAAATCTTGACACCTCCTGCCCTCCCTGTACCTACCTTGTGGATCTTCTTGTGTCCTCCCTCATCAACCTCATAATCCTCCTCAGTCATCCACTCATTGTACTGATCGAGATCTAGTACCCACATAGCTGCCACCTGAATACACAAAATGCAAGTTACGAATGTACTAATCCATAACTATCATGTTGTTCAAAATGATTCACTGCTCCCACTTAAGAAGCACTGTTGAAGAATTCTTACCCGCCAAGGCCCCGTATGTGGCACAGGAGAGTCAGGTGGGTCAACAGGTAACTCCACATTGGTCCAAGTATCATGGCTATCTGGAAAGTAGTACCAGTGTAGCAGAACCATCCGATCACGCTTCATTGTGGGACGTGCATACTCCTCATCCAGTGGATCACAAGGTGGGTAAATGATGTGTGTTGCTTCCTCTTCATTATCTAGAGCAATATCCATATTGACTCTTCTGAAGCCATATTATACTTATCTAACATTGGTTGTAATGTAATGTAAAGCGGGATGTATTTGTCCCACAAAATGTAACGGTTATTACAGTGCTGTTCCTTCATTCATTCATTATGGGAAGGGGTGGGTTTCCCCATGCACCGCGACCAGTTGTTGATCTACTGTACGTCCCCCTTTGATATTCTACCAGTCGCTATACCCTTCCAATACTGGTGCTCACTATCAGCCCCATTCAGCCAGTGAGTTCGGCCCCTCTACTGGCAGTGGTACCTGATACTCCCCCCATCTACCAGAGGTATTAGAGACTGCTGTTGGGTGGGAAACGTCCGTAATTTGGCTCAGTGACCTCCTTAGGAGATATGAGGTTCTTTTACCTGCCATAAAGCTACGACACGGGACCCACGGCTTAAAGTCCCTCCCAGAGGACTTGTTCCCTGAATTTTTCCGCCCTTAAAAATTCCATGACCTCCGCCGGGTTTGAACCCGCGTACCCTGAGTCATGAGGTGGGAACATTACCCCTAGACTATGGAGGCCGCTTACAGTGCTGTTGCTAATCACTGTAATAAATATCACAACTGCCACTGTAGTGCTACATTGGCTGAGCCTACCAGCAGGTCAAGAATGGTGTAACTATACTTCCAATCCCCCACACACCTTCATGGCACAATGAATGATTAATTAATTAATTACTTAATTAAGCACAAGAACAACTGTATCCTTTTGCTTTTACAGTCTACTTAAATTAATTCCTCTTATTTCCTATGTATAATACTAAGGGTGAACCAGGATAGCTCAGTCAGTATAGCGACTGGCTACTGGCTGGACAACCAAAAGGTCAGAGTTCATGCCCTGGCAGGGTCAAAAATTTTCTCTTCTCCATGTTGTCCGGACTGGCTCTGGGGTCCACCCAGCCTCCTCTCCAATGGGTACTGGGGGCTCTTTCCCCAGGGGTTTGAAGCTGACCACTCACCTCCAACTAATGCCGATGTCAAGAAAATGTGGATCTATACCTCCATTTCCCCAAACATCTTCATGGTGTAGTGCTTAATTAGTTAAGCACAGTGACAACTTTACCTTATCTTAGTACTACGGCTACACCATGAATTTTATTAACTGATCACTTCTCTGAATTTGAGGTCACCAGTCTCCAAAAAATTCAGAATTTAATACGATGACTGACTACAGTGTAATTTACATTAAATTAAACTTATATGAGGATAAGAAGCAAATGCTTACCCAAAAGAAAACAAATGTATAAAAATTCATTTACTTTAAATAGCCTCTGTTATCTGTAATATCTTCATTCATAGTGTTACTGGTAATTGACAAGAGAAGTGGTGAGGATTCCTGTCTGCAAGGAGACCTATTTACTCTTTCCAATAATTAGCACACCAACAGCAGTTACATCCAGCTGTTGGGTTAGACAATCTCTGTTTATACTACAGAGTGGGGCACAGAAGCTTCCTTTTTTTGAAGGTGAATAAAAGAAAAATTATTGCTGATGGACAAAATTTATGTTTAGCTAATGAAAGAACATACTTTAAAGTTTTAAATCATATAGTTTTAAACAAAATATCTTGAAGGTGGTGGCCACCGTTCTCTATGCACTGATGCAACCGTTTTCTTACGTTCCCCTCTGCACGTTCCAACATGTGCACCGGAATTTGGGCGACTTCCTGTCAAATAACATTCTTCAGCTGAAGCAGGTTTGTGGGGTGTTGTTTAAAAACCTCTACCTTGAGGTATTCCCATAAAAATATCACAGGGCGTTAGATCAGGTGAGTGCGCTGCCCACGGGATGTCACCTCGAAGCGAGATGAGCCATCCGGGAAACTTTGCCCTCAAAACTGTCATCGAAGCTCAGGCTGTGTGGGCCGTGGCACCATCCTGTCGGAACCACACATTTCCTAGATGCATTTCTTCAAGAGCTGGTTCGAAAAAGTTTTTAATCATGTCCACATACCGCTGTGAATTGACAGTAACTGCATGATTGTCTTCTTCAAAAAAATAAGGGCCAATAACTCCAACTCTCGACAACTCACACCATACTGTCACCTTATCACTGTGAAGTGGCCTCTCATGGAGCTCTCTGGGATTGTTACCAATCGAATAACGCATATTCTGCTTTTTGACATATCCTGATAGGTGAAAATGTGCCTCATCACTAAAGAAAACAAGTGCATCAGGGGGTAAAGTTTCCAATAACGTTTCACACGCCGTTATTCAGTTCTGTAAATCATGTGGTGACAATACTTGCACAACAACCATCATATAGGGATGGAAATTAAGATGTTCGTGAAGAATTCGGCGCACTGAACAATAGGATATGTCTAGGGCGACTGCATGTTTGTGAGCGGAGCGTCTTGGAGATCTCAAAATCAACTGTCGAACTGCCTCCACATTTTCTGGCACCATAACGGTCCGTTGTCATCCTGATGATTTTTTCACCACACTCCCGGTTGTCCCAAAGTTCTCTACCCACAAAACAATCGATTTCTGGTCGGGAACCGGACCTCTGGGCTTAATTCCAAAGTGAGCACGGAACGCATGCTGCACCACCACATAGGAATGGTTGTTCGAAAAATAGGCTTCGACAGCAAACACATGCTGCTTAACTCGTCAACCTCACGTTTCCTACTGAGGGGTATTAGACAGAAACTTCCGCAACTGCTGCATTCGCCGAGCCTATCCCCACTTTTCTGCGACCTCCCCTCCCTTCACAATGCGTCTTCAAAAAAAGGAAGTTTCTGCGCCCTACCCTGTATAATGAATGACGAAGCAAAAAATTCTAAGGTGCATAATATTTTGAGTGCTCAAATAATGTTGATCGTAATTCTTCTTCCCGTCATTGCTTCACAATTAAACTAATTTAAAAAATGAGAAATGACTAACCATTACATAAACTTTGAAGTTGTGCGTACAGTGCCCATTTACTTGGACAAAGAAAACTGAATCTGTATGTAAGGTCCACTTTGTATGACTCAAATTTGGGAAAATTAAAATTAAAAATAAAAACCTCAATAATCACAGAAAAGTTATAACAAAACTAGATGTGTATGAGAATATGTGGCTGCATATCATGAAGTTTGATTTCCATGAACAATTTGTCTGAAAATAGTGCTAAAACGTTCAACCAATACACAAGCAATTTTGCTACTGTTCTTATGGAACTGTATTTTCATGCATGAGGTCAAAGACATGGAATAACTAAATGCAAATAAATAAAAAAATAATGTAAGTCACAAGCTCCTCACACACAAATAACATAAATTAAATTTTGTGCACCAGGATATATATTTTTCAAAGTCCTGTGCTAAAAAGCAAGCTGAAAGTACTCAAGAAACAAGTAGTGCATGAGGCACAATTTTTTAATTTTTTTTCAGTAACAGGTTCACCAAATGTACCTGGAATGGATGAAAATTAGGAACACAAATTAAAATAAGCTACATAATTCTGAGATTGTCAATGAACTGCAGATATCAGAACTGGTCTCCAGAATGGGCAACTTAAACCTAGAAACTACACTACAAAATCCACTCATCATAGCTTCATAAAAACACTTTTATATTTGCTATCAGTCTCCATCAACTTATCTGTGGTGAGTGGGTGACATGTCTGGAACACCTCCTTAGCTTACTTAACTTACTCATGGAGCTGAGCCCTTCTGGAGGAGCCGCCAATTCTGCAGCTACTCCAGAATTTCCCAGCATTTTATGGAACCCGAAGGTTCATTATCGTGTTCACAAAAGCCCTTCAATGGTCCCAATCATCAACCAGATCAATCCACTCCATACCATCCCATCCTATCTCTCTGAGATCCATTTTAATATTGTTCACCCACCTACGCTTTGGTCTTCCCAGTGGTCTCTTTCATTCTGGCTTTCCCACCAATATCCTATATGCATTCCTCGTCTCACCCATTCGTGCTACATGCCCCGCCCACCTCATCCTCCTTGACCTGATCATTCTAATTATACTTGGAGAAGAGTACAAGTTATGAAGCTCCTCATTATGCAGTTTTCTCCAACCTCCTGTCACTTCATCTCTCTTCGGTATAAATATTCTCCTCAACACCCTGTTCTCCAACACCTCAGTCAATGTTTCTCCCTTAATGTCAGAGACCAAGTTTCAGACCAATACAGAACCACAAGCAAAATTATATCTGGAACACTGTACTGCAAAATCTGCAGAAACAAAAACAAAAGCACACACACAAATAAGTTATAGAACAAAAAATGACACAAAAACACAGAAATGAATAGCAGTTCAAGTTACTGCTATTTCGTAAGATTCAATTCCTACAATAATTCACCTTGTAATTCATAACATCAAGGATTTCACACACCCTCAGTGCAACTATGGGAGAAATAAATCTTCCTATGCCCCATGAACTCCATACTCACATCACAATAAATCAATTCCAGCATCAACAAATATATCACCAAAGCTTGAAATGGATAGCAGCAGAGTAACACCCAAGCAAGAGAAGCAGGCTGGAAGACACTGTATTCAAGACAGTTCATTAAGAAAAGAACTGTACTCTGGCATATCCTACACATCATGTGATCTGTTACCTGATATTGCTGCTATGCCAACATGTCAGATCACACACTGCCCCACATGGGCATGAAACAAAGACTAAGGTCTGACATGAAAGAACTTGTTTGTGAGTTTGATTACTGGTGGTTTACTTTACTGGAAATGTATTTTTTCAATAAAATCAGTTATAGATTGTGGTGAAGAAAATGGTAAATACATGAAGAATATAGTATATACCATTCACTATTAATTTAACTCACATATGATCTACAGACCTTTCAAAGAAAACGTTTCACTCTACAGGTACAGAAATTACAGTGCTTTTTTCATGACAGATCATTTACAGAATCCTTACATAAATCACATGTCCAGGTTCCTGGTCATTAAAATTTTGGGACAAAACTGTAAGAATTGTGTAATGAAGAATGATACTTCGGCACCATCACGTCAACATTTTACTGTACACAAATGTAATTTTTTTTAAATAAATTGAACAACGTGCTAAAATATTCACAAGCGATGAAACAAACCTGTAAAGGATCCTTGGTGCCTCTTAATTATGTCCTTTATTTTCACCTGCATGCTCTTCTCCACCTCTGATCGTACATATATTACTGGCATTGTAAGGCACTTGTTCTGGATCAGCACCTTTTCCACATTCATGAACATTTCCACATTGCGATCCATTCGAGAAGGTGACTACAAATAGCATATAAAACAGTCACTTATTCAATTCGCCTATATATAATGAACAAAATTCTTCACACAAGTGAACACAAATTCACAACTTACCTGAAAATCAAATCTTCTCCATCCTTGATCACTCTTAAATTTATAAACTGTGGCTAGTATGTGGCACAAGGCACCACCCGGTTTGAAATCTAGAAAACATCTCATCTGTGAAGAAACATGTATACATTCATTCATTTATTTCATTTCCATAGATCTATACAGAAACAAGTTCCATGAGATGTGGAAATAGTCAAGTTTGAATCTTAACATAGATACAATAAAAAAACATAGAAAACAAGTTATAGAAATAAATTCAAGAATACATAAATTAATATAATTACATTTCAAAATAACAATTAGTATATAGTAAGCAATAATATTTCTGCACAAGACCCTTTATATATATTGTTATGTTAATTGTAATAATAAGTGAACACTTAATAATTACTTTAGCAAAATAAAATCATCTATTAAAAAATTCATCAAGTGTGTAGAAGGAATTATTACTCAAGAAGTCCTTCAGTTTGACTTTAAACTGATTAGGTATGGAAGCAATTTCTTTAAGCTTATAAGGGAGTGCATTAAAGACCTTCACCGCCATGTGGGACACGCCCTTACCATATACAGCCAGATTCACCTGGTTCATATGTAGATCCATTCTCTGTCTAGTTAATAAATCATGATAGTCATTGTTTAGAGCAAACTTGTCTCTATTTTTAACAATGAACATCATCAGTAAGTATATATATTGAGCTCTTAAAGGGAGTATATTTAATTCCCTGAATCTATTTCTACACGATTGTTTATATCCACAACCAACCATTAATCGTATAGCTCTTTTTTGCATCCTAAAAACCTTTTTAGCAGAAGCTCAATTACCCCAGAATATCAAGCCATAGGACATGACAGAATGGAAATAAGAGTTATAAATAATTTTCAGGGTAGTAATAGTCATTATGGGTTTCATGTTCCTTATCATATAACAAGCTGAACTCAGCCTAGTTAACAGCTCATCAATATGTCTTTCCCAATTCATAGTTCTAGTAATAGTTATACCAAGGAATTTAAGATCGTAAGAGCTCGTGATTTGTGTTAGTATGTTACCTACATCCCTTCCAATAGACGCCTTGTTGTTAGCAGTAAAATTTATACAACATGTTTTTACAGTGTTTAAAGACAATAAATTTTTTGAAAACCAATCACTAAGTATAAAATAAACCTCATCTAGTAAATTCTTTAGCTGCCCAGAATTGGGATGTGATACCAAGACACTTGTATCGTCAGCAAATAAAATAGGTATACTGTTTAACTCCAAGATCTTAGGTAGGTCATTAATATAAATTATAAACAACAGTGGTCCCAAAACTGAGCCCTGCGGAACCCCATTTCTTACACTAACCCATTTAGATTGTGTTAAAACATTTCCATATCTATTTCTAATTTGTGTTCTCTGATATCTATTATGTAAATAAGACTTATATAAATTAAGATGTTTATCCTTTATTCCATAGTACATTAATTTATCCAATAATACCTTATGACTGACACAGTCAAATGCTTTTTCGAGATCACAAAAAATCCCACTGATTAAAGTTTTTTGGTTGAGAGCATTCAATATTTCAGAAATTACTTGAAATATCGCATTTTCAGTCCCCAAATTAGCTCTAAAACCAAACTGATGTTTACTTAGTACTTTATACTCATTTAGATGGCGTATCAATCTGCTATACATTACTTTCTCAAAAATTTTACTAAAAGAGGTAAGGATAGAAATAGGTCTATAATTGGATAAATCACATTTTTCACCTTTTTTGAATACTGGTATAATCTCAGCATATTTCAGCCTATCTGGATATACACCTTCAAATAATACTTTATTACATAGATAGCTTAGCAGAACACTTATAAAAATTTTACTAGCTTTTAAAATTGAATTAGAGATACCCTCATAACCATGAGTAGTTGAAGCTTTTTAAGAGACCCTATTATCTTTTCAATTTCAGTATTAGTAGTTTTCAAAATTTCACTACTAGGAAATGGGCTACTAAAAGCCTTTGACATATAGGACATATAGTTTTCGGATTTATTTAATGATGGCAAGTTAGTACTATTCATATCCTTTTCTTTCCTTTGTCTGTGGATATTGTCAGCAATCTTATTAAAATAATTGTTAAATGCATCCACAATAGTGTTCAAATTGGTAGTACGTTTCCCATAAATGCATAAAGCATTAATATTGTCTTTTGTTTTTCTGGCTTTCTTACAAACTTCAGTATTTATTATATTCCAGGTACTTTTAGTTATATTTTTGCAATCTCTAAGTTGTTTTTCATAGTGTGTTTAATCATTTAACTGATTTCACCTCTGACTTCACAGTTTGCTATTAGACAGATTCTGAAATACATTCACTCACTCACCACACGCAAGCTAATGGAGACCATCACAAGTACATAAATATCTGTATGCAGCATAAAATAAAATATAAAAAGTGAATTATTTAAGTAGCTAGTAAATTTAAGTTATATTTCTGAAACCCTGGCTGTGACTGTATCAAAGAATTGAAAAAGTGCCATACTAGCTAACACACATAATACATCAAGTGTCTGTTATCTTAAAATATTTATTATATTGTAGAGATTATTTTTTCAGCGAATACGTATCAGTATTTTGTCTTAAACTTTGAGATATTAAATATTATTATTCATTCTTGTGACCAAAATATGGATATAGCATTGAATTCTGGACCAGATCTGACAATATTTTCCAAACAATAACCGACACAAATAAATGTGTAACAGAGGAAGGACGCTTGAGATCACACTGCAAATCCTTCCGTTGGTCAAGAGGGAAGGGCAAATACAACTTGTCATCTCACACCACACACACCCAGACGCATGAAACTATTAACAGGCCGCACATTTGGGCACATGACAGAGTTAACAGGTCAACATTACAATCTACCTCCAATATCGTGGCAAAAAAATCTCCAAACAACTACTACAAAGAGAGCTAGTATGTTTTGTTTCTTTTCTTTACAATCCCAAGAATTAAAAATGCAATCAACTATGTTATTCATTGTGACAAAATGCCATGCAGGAGTCACACACTGAAATCAGTATTCATGTTTAATACTTATATAAACAGCAACAAAAGAATTCCAGCATAAATTTCAAGAATTTCAAGCCTCAAATCTTACAAATTTCAAGAAGTTACAATTCTGTATAAAAAATTATTCATACAAACTAAATAAATTCAGATGGGGTCATTTAATTGGCAAAACAAAAACTGAACCAATATGCCATATGTTCCCTGAAGAAAACTTCATGAAATCAATGCTAGGCTTGAACATTCCCCTTGAAAATCCCTTACACACCTTATAGAAAAGACTATGATTTTTAAAGTTACAGGTTGTTATATTTCCAAAAAGGAATCTTGATGCATAAAGGTGAACATTTTATGGATGTGCAAGGAACGCATGCATACCAACAAGGACCTTTTACAGCATCTGCTGTGATGTGAGCTAATTTCCTTGTGATTTATTGGCCAATGGGCTTGTCAAGTGCATTGTAGGTCTGGTTGTGTGCAGGAAGTTGACATATGTCTTCCACTGGACTGATCAAATGATTTGTGGCAGACCCCCAGACAACTTCCCTACATCTTACAGAAATAACTGGCAGCCAAGACAAATGCAGTATGGAGTACATACTCCCCCATACTACAACCACAAAGGATGGCTTCCATGCATCATGTACATGGTGAGAGGTACACAGGCTTCATATGTTTAAAACAAAGAAGACTCAAATGAAACTCAATTAAAAAAAATGTTCCACTGTGATCTATACTCCTTACACAGTAGGTGCAGAAACTGTAACACATGACTCAGATAAGGGCATTCAGAGAATCTTGTCCTCTTGTCCAGGTTACAAAAGTCTGTTTTAAGAAACAATATTGGAAATGTCACCAAACACTAAACAATTATTCCTACTGCAGCCACCTTTAGGCCCCTAAAAAGAATCTGGGATACCTGTTGTGTTCCGTGTCATGGAGATTTTATTAATCCCTTCCTTAACTCATATTTATTTGATTAGTAATGTGAAATCAACATGAACTTAATCCCTTTGGATTTCAAAGAAATTCGAGTAGCTTGTACCCGGACAGAAATTGGTGATAATGCCTCAAAGATTTTCTGCTGCAGCAGTTAAAAATTTAAAATTGGCAGACTAAAACCATGGATTTTTTTTTCTCTTCTAGACTGCGGGGCAACAGTGAACTCAGACCACAACTGCACAACACTGTGGCACCTGAACGAAGTCAACGAAAGAAAACATCCCAGTTTCCTCATAAAGAAAGTGATCCTTTTCCATGAAGATTACCCTACACAGTCCATATCATAACACAAATCCTGGAACAGTTTCTCTAGGAAGCCCTTCTATTTTATAACAGTGACCTTGCACCTCTTCTGACCACTGAAGCAGCATTTGAAAAGAAACAATTTCTGACAAAATGAAAAAAAAAAGTCATCAGCGGAAATTATTTTACTTCTACTATACAGTTAAAACTTGTATTAATTTGTGTAATAAAATTGAGTTCTACCTATAATGCAGAGCCTCCACAACCAATCCCCTAGCATGTTACACCTCTGCAGTTATGGGGTGATCTCAAAGGTTTTAAATGATGCTGAGTAAGAAAAAAAATAAATACATTCAAATTTGTGGACTGCCAGTATGCAACTTATTGGAAAGGGAGATTCAGATTGGGTGACCACCAGTCAGCAACTGACTGTAAAAGTGGATACTTGTGAGTCACTTGGCAGTGAAGTCATTCTGAAAGCAGATGAAGTTAGTAATTAACGTTTCATTCAGTGATCACTCAAGAAATTAATCACTCAGAAATACAAATTGACATTCATATGATCCAAAACACAAGCATTTAGCAGCGAGGATGTTATCCTGTACGTCAGTCATTCCAGAAATCAAAGCAAAGGGCACTACAACAGGCATTACACAGTGCATTACTTGTTTTAATCTGTGTGTGTGTGGTGTGTGCGCCTGCATTGTACAGTGATAAGAAAATGATTTATATGAAGTCAGCAATGGTTCACAGTAGGATCTCTAGCCCAGCCTTATAATGATCTTGATTTACACATTCTTGAGTGCTGATCTACCTGCTAAATAATCTGAGGTCAATTGCTCTGCCCTGAAACCCTATAAAATCTTATAATCATGATGTGAGAAGAACGGTTATAATCTGTTATTTGTTGTTCTGTTGGACATATAGACTGAAATAATAAATACAATTGTACCACATCATCAGATGCTGATTATAGAAAATAATTCATGAAGTGTGGTAGTAAGAGTGAGATTTTGGCCAGCCATGTTATGTCATTCAATCAGCCTGTGCGGCTGTTTCTTTATTAAACTGCTGCTGAACTATTTATATTTTTAATGTTTAATCCATATCTTACTTTTCATTCAGAACTTTTTGGTTGCAAAAATTGTCAAACTGTTAAACTTATTGTGATGACCTGTAAAGTTTATTCCAAAAACATATATATGCATGATGAGCATAGTTAAACATGGATAATAATATCAGTAAAGTTTATTCATGGATTCACACACACAACTTCACAATAATTTATTTATTATTGTGTGTGACAAGGTATTAACTTAAATTTTAGAGTTCTGCCATACAAAAAATGTTGAACAGCCCTTACATACACTATCAAAAATATGAGACAAAAGATATACTCACAGGCAGTCTGGTAAGTGGGGGTTTGCTGACATTTTTTCCAAGGTTGTCTTCCTGAAACTGTATCAGCTGAATGACAAGTGCAGACAAGCCTTTGCTTGTGGGTGGATCTGTCTGAACATACTGAAATACAAACAAACATTACTTACAACTGAAGAATCCTATCTTCTGGGATATAATGCCATGTTATCTCCATCTTCAGTGTGAAGAATAAGCCAAGCAAGGACCCAGTATGAAGGAGGTAGCAAGCAGAGCAATTTAAATACAAATTTAATCTAACACTTCTAATGCTTTAGGCGTTAAAATGTTCATAAGGTGTGGCCCCTTCAGCCCTTAGGTCCAAGCCAACCCGTGTCATGCCACTCTTAAAGGAGTCTCTGAGTGTTCATCACATATCTTACAAGAAGAAAATACTGGGAGAATTGTATGGCATTCTTTACAGGTAAAAATATATTTATTAATTAATTATGACAATGTACGCCAACTAAGCAACTGAAGATACTGTTTCACTATGCAACTAATCTATTATAATGAAAAGGTTATACCAGATGTTTTCTGGTATAGTTACTAAAACGACATTCCAATGGCATTTCTGCTATATCTTTTGAGACAACATAAAATTTAATACGTTTCAATTTATAAATGATTCAGTTGCGGCTGCTATGTATGGGTGGGAGTTCTGTTATATATTCGATAATTAGTCCTAACAAAATTATAAGGCACCAAAACCAAGCTGACATTTCATTTACCATAGACCAATCACTTTCTACACTTCGATTTCGATAAATCAAATTACAGCCCCACTACTCCAAGATCGTAATCTCAAACCTTACGCTCTTTAAATATGTAAACAACCGTAACACAAGTATTACGAGAACTTATCTGTTGTACATACAAATTATTGGATCACAGAGCAACGCCCGGCAAAACATTGTGAACACTAAATCTTACCTTTTTACAGTTCTTCTGCAACCACGACTTTATTGCATCGAATAGGGATATAGTTTCTGGAGATTCAAAGAACTTTGTGTTGGGCCCTCCATCCTTTTTTGGAGCAAGGGACATCATCTTCGTACGATTTTAAGGGACGCTCTCACTTTTCAACACTCTTCGGATAGCTTTACAAGCTACCAAGTTCATTTAGCACACTTGCGCGAGAACAACTACTGCGCTCTGTTGGTAAAAGTTTTAGTGTATGAATTGTTTCCAACTTAATGGAAATGTGAATCAATATTGCCACCAAAGAAAATTGCGTGAATTTAATGGCATTTCGGCTAGCTTTGAAAATGACAAATGCGTGTAGCTTCCTAAGGTAAAGGCAAAGTTGTCCCTGTGCTTAACTAATTAAGAAGCATGCCATGAAAATGTATGTTGGTGTGGAGGGACAGCTCCACAATTCTTGATTGCAACACAAAAATTGGAGTAAGAGGGCAGCTTCCCGACTTACTCCCCAGAGAAAGAGGTCCCGTTACACACTGGATAAAAGACTGGGTGGACCCCAGAGCTGGTCTGGATGTTGTGGCATTGAGAAAAATCTCTAGCTCCTGCTAGGAATTGAACTCTGGCTCTCCAGGCTATGAATTGACTTTTCGCCGGTATTCATCAAGCATGCTCTTTCCTGGTCCTCTGTAATATTCATCCTAACAGTAATAAAAATTTGTTATAGTTTTACGTGGTTGTCTCTTCGAGCACCAACAATCCCACAGTCAAAAGCAACATATTCAATGAAACAAATCAAAAACATATTCGACAACAATATTCAAGCTTAGAGTTGTTCATCCAATCGTATGTCTTACCTGTGTTCATTTTTCTTTGCTTTCTGTATGCACAAGGAGTATAGAGTTAGTGCAGTCTAATAAAGTTTACTTGACAGAATTGGTTTGGTTTAATTTGGCATGCATGTGATAGCCTTGTTTGAAGTATAAATATTCTGCTTGTAACGTTTTAGTGGTGAGTCATTCCATAAAAATGGAACTGCTAAATTAACCCATAACCCCACAGAATACATAATAAACTGTCCATCTATCTGTCACATGTTTTAACCCTAGAGCCACTGGAGAGATTTTGATGAAATGTGGTATGGGCATTATCATTTGAAAATCGCCAAAAATCATAGTTATTAATTCAACAATCACTAATACCAACATGATGGATTCATGCTCCTGTGAGATGGGAACAAGACTTAATATAAGATCCTAAAAGGAACAGATCTGCGAAAAATGTGCAAATTTTAAGTTTCTTCCCCTTTTTCTTTTTTGTAAAATCTAAGACAATAAAATGGTGACTGTATAAAATCTATATTAGCTTTCAGTGCAATATCGATAACTAATGAACCATTTGAGTCAAGCATGTAACATTTGATATGGCCTTAGATCACATATATGCCTACAATTCTGTAATACTGTTCCTAAATTAACAATTAAAAACATGGAAAAAGTGAGAATGTCTGATGGTATGTGTGGCAAATTTGTCAAGGAGCAGTCCATTGCATTCACAGTTACACGTCTGCTTAATATTGTTAACATAAATCTTTCCGGCCGCATTACGGCCCTGGGGTTCACTCAGCCTCCAACAGAAATGAGTACCAGAAATTAAATAAATAATTTTCCCAGGGAGTAAAGAGCAGCCGGCGCATAAGGCTGACAACCTTACCGCCATCTATGAGCCGATTGTCTAGAAATGTAGGACCCTCAACATCTCACAACCCTATGAGCCTTCATGGCCTGTTACAGGGATAGCTTTACTTTATATATGATATATATTTGTAACCCCCCTCGTTGGTGGCTCCACCTAATCGTGGTGAGGGGGTTTGAGTATGCCAAGGACCCTGAGAGCTATACCAGCGGTAGCGTAGCTACTGGCAGGGCCTCCCTTGCTGGACAGGTCAAAGGGTAGGCATCAGACGAAGAGAGACACCAAAAACTGATGCCGGAAGCAGCGTCATCAGCAGCGACTTGAAGCACAGAGTAAATAATGCTCGAGATGGTTCAAGTTCGTATAGCAACAGGCGTGACCAGAGTGGTTTGAACGGCTGTTGTACTGCGATGTGGAAAGCAAATGGAAAAACTACCACATTATCACTTTTCCTGGATAGTCTCTTTCCAAAACCAGAGATACCATGTATGCGAGATATTTCATTTGAAGGAGAAAGCTCTAGATCGCATCAAGTGGAGGAACTGTTTTGGAAGAGACTGGACCTGTCGTCTTGACAGATTACTGATGAATGAATGAATATTTGTAACAACTAGGAACATTTGAAGTGAAAACGTGGAATAAATGCACGTGGAAACTATGTATTCCGTTATGGATTATATCGTTCCAATCTTGGTGGTGTAGATGTACATAGATTAAAGTTCTTTGGCTGCATATTGATAAAATGGATAGCCTTCACCACCTTACTGTGTTGATGCAAAAGTAGGGCTTCTGTTATTCACTTCACGAAAGTGAAGTGTTACTAACAGAGTTTGGTTCACAGTCATATACAGAATGTTTTCTTGTATTTTCTTTGATAAACTGCAGGGTCTTCACTGCATAAACAAAGAATTCAAAATATTCCCTTAATGGAACTTCCAATCATGATGGCTGTATTTTTTGCGAGGTCTGAACCCAACAGAATAAAATATAATCTAACATGAAGGGGCAAGTAAAAAAAGTAAAGGTATCCCTGTAACAGGCTGTGGAGGCCCATAGGGTTGTGAGATGTTGAAGTTTCCACATTTTCTAGACAATTGGCTTATAGATGGCAGCAAGGTTCTCAGCCCTACACGCCAGCTGCCTTTTACCCCCAAGGATATTCCCAGTACTCATTTCTGTTAGAGGCCGAGTCAACCCCAGGCCCATAGTAAGTAATACTTACTTACTTACTTACTTACTCATGGAGCAGAGCCCTTCTTGAGGAGCCGCCAATTCTGCAGCTACTAAGAATTTCCCAGCATTTTATGGAACCCGAAGGTTCATCACCGTGTTCACAAGAGCCCTCCACTGGTGACTATCCTGAGCCAGATCTATCCAATCCATATCATCCCATCCTATCTCTCTAAGATCCATTCTAATATTGTCCACCCACCTACGCCTTGGTTTTCCCTGTGGTCTCTTTCCTTCTGGCTTTCCCACAGTATCCTATACACATTCCTCCTCTCCCCCATTCGTGCTACATGACCTGCCAACCTCATCCTCCTTGACTTGATCATTCTAATTATACTTGGAGAAGAGTACAAGTTATGAAGCTCCTCATTATGCAGTTTTCTCCAAACTCCTGTCACTTCATCTCTCTTTGGTCCAAATGTTCTCAACACCCTGTTCTCAAACACCCTCAGTCTATGTTCCTCCCTTAATGTCAGAGACCAAGTTTCACACCCACCATAGTAAGTAATAGTATAAAAATTTAGTTAAATGTTTTGGATGCACACTCTCTCTGTGTGCTGGTATCTCTGCTTTGATGTAGCGATAGGGCTTGGGTGCCTAAATGAACCTGACAGCCATGTTGCCAGTACGATATCCCATGCCAGAGCGTCAAATGCAATAGGCCAGACCAAAAGAGATACCCTGATCCCCCAGGTTGGGGGTTGCAGCATGAGGCTGACAACCTCATCCCTGGAAAATATATATATATATATAAACTGTTAGGAAACCTTGGATGACAACCTCAGAGATATCAATGGATCTAAATATGATATATAAGGTACAAGGCAGAGATAGTTGGAAGGTTGTTATCAAGGAGGCCAAGGCTCACAAAGGGCAACAGCGCCAGATAAGAAGTTATGTCTGTGTAGAAAATTTTCAGATGGTGAAACCTAACTGCCTACCATCATGTCAACAAATGAAAAAGACCATCAATTAACAATGGGAAAGAGATGGCATTATGGTTGAAATAATTAACTTAATTAATAATTAATATATGAGGGCCTAATAGTACTAGTGAGTTTAATAGTTGTAAAGAATGAGTAGGCTTTGAAGAAAACTGTGAAAGTAATATTTCTGGAATGGAAGACATGCAGTAATATGGTGAGTGATTATGGTCAGTTGGTACATAACCATTTTAATTTTGTAACAGTAACAATCAAGCTGTTATCAGTATGTGAATTTACTTATTGCTGTACAAGAGAAAATTTGTAAAGAAAAGGTGTGCTTAAATGCAATGCCCTTGTGTCTTAGACTATGATGCTGTTTTCTGAATTGAGAGCAAGCAATGATGCATGTGACGTAGACCATACAGTCAGATTTTGTGAGCGTATTATACTTATTCTTGGACATAGGCCACGCCATAGCTTAAGCGGTTAGTCACTGTCTTCCCACCACGGCGGCCCTTGTTCGATCTCGGGTCTGGTCAAGTGGGATTTGTGGTGGACAATGTGGCACTGGGGCAGGTTTTCTCTGAGTACTTCGGTCTCCCCTGCCAATCTTCATTCCACCAATTGCTCCACAATCACACTCATCTATCATCTGGGGCTGGTACAATAGGTCAGAAGTGGCCACAGTATGAGGGACTTAGTCCCACCCTCACTAACAATAAAAAAAAATATTCTCGGACATTTTGCTGTCATGCCATCCTTCATCCAAAGGTCTTGGTGCACTGATATATGGTAGAAAACAGAAAATGTAAATACATTAACTAAAAAAAATCTTGTAATAATTCAAAACAAAGGAAGCTGAATTAGTAGTTAAACGAATTGTTAAAATTGAATTGAATTGAGTTGAATAGTTTCACACTGAGCATATGAAAGATACTTTGGACTTGTGAGCAAAAGTGTTGGCCAGTGAGCAACCACTTGACAATCTGGTGTGGCATCAGCTGGAATCATTAACAGTAAAAAGAAACGATTCTGAAGGCTTGAGAGGGGAACTGCAACCACAAAGGTAAACGAAAATTATGCAAAACGGAAAACTAATCTATTAGCATTTTGGTTTGAAATGTTACCAGAATTAACTAATTAAGCACTACGCCGTTAAGGCGTATGGGGGGAGTGGATGCACATATCCACATTTTTCTTGACCTCGGCACTAGTTGGACGTAAGTGGTCAGCTTCATGCCCCAGCCGCTTTATCCCCGGGGAAAGGGCCCCCGAAACCCATTGGATAGGAGAATGGGTGGACCCCAGATCCAGTCTGGACGACGTGAAGAAAATTCTTCACCCTACCGGGACTCAAACTCGTTCCCTCGACGTCCAGCCCG